CCCCCCCCCCCCCCCCCCGCCCCCCCCCCCCCCCCCCCCCCCCCCCCCCCCCCCGCGGGGGGGGGGGGGGGTGAGTACAAAATTTCTACCCTACACACTTCAACACTCCGTTCAGGGTCGTGTTTCACAAAATAACGTATATTTTTCTGATTCACAAATTAATCTTAGCAAACTGTACCTGTCTAATGGATCAATTACCTAATGGTTATTTATCAGTATAATATTTCAGTTGCTTTTAAGAAACAGCTACGATTTACAGTTTGAAGCACAACATATTGTAGGATAATGTTTTAATATAGCTTTATAATATCAAAGCCCCTCTGCTAATTGTTAACTAAAATTGAAGGTTGCCAGTTTCAATCATACTATTCCTCATTATAATACTTTATAATCCAAGTTTTCATACATAATATATATACAATTTTTAAAGTTTTCTTTTATTCTACTGTGCCCCTATTACCTTGTTATTTTTCACTATTTTATCATTATTTCATCTAATTTCACCAACTATTTTCCAGCATTTTACCTAATTTTATTAATCATACAACTTCTCCTTTTTCTTGTAATGCAGAGCCTGATGAGTGTTTCAAATTTTAAAATAAAATAAACATGAAACACATCGAAAAATTAACTCTGCATTATCTTATTAACTAATTTTCAAACTCAAGCGCAATCTCTAAATTTATATAAAATTAAATACAGCTTAGTAGATTGCTGAAAAAACAAAAGCTGTGAGTAGAAAATTGATTTTGTCTTTTCGTTAGAAGATATAGATTGATTTGTTTTTATTTGATTCTCATAATAATATGAAATACAACGAACGAGAGAGGAAAAAATACAGGTTATGATGTGGGCATATTTATCAAACACTAAGTATGTGATGAAAATGTTACAGTCCATTGATTCATATAAACATATCTATGTCGGAAAAAACCAAGTTGTTACTTCTACAATAGATAGAGAGTAAAATCGACCGCAAGTTCACAAAAATACAGTCGCATATTTAGCCATATTATGTGAAAAGTAAGTAGAACTTATTTTCAATTGTAAGAGACAGTCCGTGAGAGGGCCGAGGACGAAG